TCTTATCTGCAGCTCAACCAGTAAAGAATTTGATTAGATGGTGGATTGAAATGCGAGAACAAGCATTTTTCAGAAGTATGAGCAACACAAGAACAATTATGATCCATTTGGTACGAGAAAATAATTTTTAGCTTTTATTTTCTAAATTATATGTCTTCATCCAATATATCATACAAGTAAATTAACAATGAAGAAAATAATAGTGAAAGTGATAATAGATTTAAAAAATTTTAAATTACACGCCCCATATATCATACAAGTAAATTAACAATGAAGAAAATAATAGTGAAAGTGATAATAGATTTAAAAAATTTTAAATTACACGCCCCATACAAGTAATAAATTTATTTTAAATTATACATATATTTTATGATTAAATTATTGATTTAATGTTATTATTAAGTTTGTGTTTAAAATGCTTATATTATTTGTTTTTATATTACTTTAGTTAGTTTGTTATATTTATTGAATAAAACAAATTATTTTTTTAAAATTTTTTTAGAATGAAATAAATGGTTAAACTAGGTAGACTACAGGTATAAAATATTACTCACATAATGGAAATGAGTGAAGAAATATGTACTCACCTCATACAAGTAATGAATTTATTAAATGAGTCAAGTATGGGGGTAGATGTACCCACTGTGGAGGTTCATATCCTTGTGGCCACCACTAGAACATGAAAGGCGAACTTTGGCACAACAGAGGGGAAAAACATACCACTGGATATGAGAGGCCAAGTTTGGCACGATGGAGAGGCATAAAGTACTCTTAGTCATATCGATAGATGCTACGAATCAATTTCCTCCAAAGGAATTTTAACTCGGTCCCAAGTAGCAAGGACCCTTTAGATAGGAACCCCCTACTTAAGTCGAAAATGTTGCATAAGCCCAAGCTTCCCACATTTTTGCTACTGCAGATAAGTGCCCGGTTCACGAGTTTTCCTCCCACTCTGCCATTCCCTGCAAAAAACCCTTCAGATGGCTCTTATTTTCTTGCACCCTCAAGGAATTTTCATGACCACATGTAAAATACTTGAGGGCTGGGA